AGAAAAGCTGGCAAGCCCTACACAAACGTCCTAGTGTCTGCATCCCCGATGACAGTGAAAAGGGTGATTGGGAAGTTAAGTAGGTCTGCTTTCAGGAATAAGACATCAAGATTAAGTTTTCCACTAACATGTAAGCATTACACACCTCTGGTGAACCTGGGGCAATACCAATTAAAACCAACCATTTCTCAGAAGGATCACATCGGTAGTTGATTATTTGGTTGTTGGCTAAATTGGCTGTTCTATCAAACATCTTTACAGGCTCAGAATCCCCTGCACAAAGATAAAAGGGAATTATTAAGGACACAACCATCCACCATTTTCAAAATGTGTAAAACAAATCATTACCAACAGAAAAAAGAGCTTCACCAGGCAAACAGGACCCAAAAAAATGTTGTAATGTGAAAAGAGAAAGTGCCTTACCTTCAATTGGCCAATGATAGACTGACGTTTGTGTAACAAGACCTAACATCTTCGGTGTAATCCATTTCCAGAAAACAACCTGTAGTACACATTAGGTCGTTATATGGCAGAACACATCACATGATTGATGACCATGGGCAGTAAATAATGCATAAACCAAATCAAGTAAATACGTAAAGCAAGCACCTGCTCAGGCATCTGATATGATTTTATTTTCTGTTTTGCCTCAATATTGAAAATCTGCAAGTGATCTTGACTGGTTCCAGGAACTTGAGCTTCAAGAGATAAGAGAGGATTGCATCATGCCATCATCAAGAAACAGAGGAAGAGTAGTCTTCCCATTTTTCAAAAAAGAACAACGTGAGGAAGGGCAGTTTTTCAAGCTTAAAAAAAATTAACCCATTTAAAACAGATATCTCCTGTATATACTCCATCTCTTAAAGTAACAAATAGTTTGATTGAAATAATAATCTATAATTCGTGCAAGAAAACAAATAGAAGGGCTGGCTTGGCTTAGCCAAACTACAAAGTGCTGGTTCTAATTAGAATTCCAAAAACATACACCAGGATGTCAGTGGGAAGAGGGATTCTGTAAACAATATAACAGCTGACATGTAGCAGCAACACTGATAAGTTCCACTATTGTAGAAAATATAATGAAGATCCAACTAGAAACTACACGTTCCAGATAAGCTAAGAAATGCATCAACCATTAGCATCAAGTTAACAAAACTCGGGTGAAATAAGGTGCTGTGAGAAAAAGGAACTAAAATGTATGGCGCAACTTCTTCAATTTACAACTTCCCCTGTAAAATTAAGAGTGGTCACCATTTAGGTTCTTATGTTTCACTCACTCCAATCAAAAAGTGTGTCATCCACACAAGGAGGAGATCACGACACGCAGCAAAGTCAAACCTAATCAACCTCCTTGATCTATGCCATAATTATTACATAGCTTGCTAAAAGCTTCACATGTGCACTTTGCACTATTATGATTATTGCTGTCCCCTTTTTTTTTAGTTTCAAAATTCTTTTGTTATCCCTATTTACTTCTTTCTAGTCTCAAAGTTCTTTAGCACATCAAGATAATGGTGAAGAGAGACTTTTCTTTTGCTCAAAGGTGAATTATCCAACAAACTATGAAGTCAGTAATTACAAATTACCTGCAGTTCAGGTGTTCCTATCAAACCCGTTCAGAAGTCAGTAACTTTGAACCAGTACAAAAACCATCCATGAGAATCTAACACTTGTCAGAGATTACATACCTTTTAGAGCCAAAATTCTAGAATTAGGATTCATAAGAGCAGAATCAGCCGTAATTGGACGCCTCAAAGGTTGCATTGGCATGTTCATATCAATAATCACCACACTATTCTGAGGCGACGTCTCCCTTACACATATATACTTATCCGATTCCATGGTAACATTGGTGAATGTGATGAACTGCGGGTTCACCCCTATACTTTGCAACTGCAAGAGCCATCAACATAATTTGAAATTCAATGCCAAAAGCAAAAACAATATCAAATCACAGATCTGGCAATAGAACTACATATGACAGATCTAACTAAGAGTCCATACATGCTAAGCTACCAATACAAAAATACTAATAGAGTCAAAAAGTACATAAGAAGGCTGAATTACTCATGGAAATAGAGTGAAATTAATTTACCGTAAGGGTCTCTTTCATGGTGATCGGAGCATTGGCAGCCGCCATGATGGCGAGATCAAAGATAATGGATCAGAGCTCCGGATCTATGAGAAATTGCAAACAGCAAGGGCGGATGAAATGGGAGATTTGGTGCGAAGCCCAACCGCCAGAGATCGATCTCAAATGAAGAAGAATCCTCGGAGTCTCCCAGAGACGAAAGGAAGTGGGAGAAAGAGATCCAGACAGAGAGGGGGGAAGGACAGGGTTCTTCTGAGAGAGAGGACTGATGCTTGAAATGAATTTTGTAAGCAGTAAGTACTGGGTATGTCTAATTAATATTTTTACAGTAATAATTAAGATTAATATTAATATTAATATACTGGCGAGGAGAGTATATATATATATATATATATATATATAATAACAAAAAATGGGAGTATAGGCGAAATATGGAATTTTTGGAGAGAAAACCAAATTGGGAAAGTCCTTTGAGTTGTAAACAGGTTGTTTCTCTCAGATCCGAACAAATGAAAAGTTAGGGTTGTTTGGTTGGGATATTAGTAAAAATAATCCATGCATTAATTGTGTATATTAATAGTATTTTATTTGGTATATATTTTTCATGTTATGTATAATTAATGCACTCTATTGTATATTAATGAGTATATTACTTATATTTTGAATTTCTAAGTATTAGTAATGCAAATGGATTTAAAAGTTGCTCAAACTTATTTTTAGGCAAAAGGCATAAATTGCCCCCTAAACGTATACCCAAAAGTCATTTACACACTTTAACAAATGGGGTGACCTATTACACACCTTAAGTACATAAAAGTATATTTATTTCCCCCTTCCGTCACCCAACCCAGGGTGCGTTTCGCTCCACATAGTTGAGCGCGTCAACACGCTAATAAAGTCATTTTTATTTATTTTTTTAATTAAAAAAATCTAACCCAACGATTATATTCCCATTCCCTTCATATAACCCAATCACCCGACCCTAATGAACAAAAACCCTAAATTTTCACCCAAAAATCTGAATCAAGAACCCTAAATTCAAACATAGTTCAAAATTCCTTCTTTTGAATCAAATGTAACTCTTTTTCATTATTATTCATTCATCTCTTTTCCATTTTGATTCATTTCTCCCTTTTTCATTTTGATTTGTTTTTATCTATTTCGTATTTTGAATTTTTAGTTGTTTGATTGGCGGTAATTCTTATTAAGGTGCTACAATAGCTCGAATAAGCTTGACTAGGCTCTGTTTACAAGAGGAAGATCATGAATTGGAAAAGGTGTGATGCAAACACGAATTTGTTTTGCCTTTGCTGACCTCTTGGACCCCGAGAAATCCTAGTAGAAGATATTGGGGTTGTCCTTAGTATGGGGTAAGTTAATCTTTTTTAAGAGTTGAATAATTCGTTTTGTTGTTTCAAGAGCCATAGAATGATTCGTTTTGTTTTTTAAGAATGCTAGATCATGCGATTTTTGGCTTTGGAAAGATGATTATATTGATCCAAGATCCAAATTTGTGATTCTCAAGTTGTTGGGAAGAATTGCGGAGCTTGAACATAGTGTTGAATCTTCTCGAAAAGTTGAAACTTCGGATAAGGAAATCAACAAGCCTACTAAGTCGACCAAATCCATGAAAAGCAAAATAGATATGAACAAGAAGGAGTCAAAAATGGACAATTTTGACGATGATTTGAAGAAGATGAAAGCAGTTGAAAAGAAATGGAAAAACAAATTGGCCAAGTCCAAGAAAAGGGAGAAACAACTTTGGATTGCTCTGTTGTGTGTTTGTATTTTAGGTGTAAGTTTAGTATTTCAAAGAGTATTGTTTCTGAAAGGAGAAGGACATTCAAGGAAATTGTCATGATCTCTTATTGTACCAAAATTTGCAATATTGTGTTGAACTTGTAAGGCTTTTGTGTAATGAAAAGAATTTACAAAGCTTCCCTTAGCTTAATTTGTTTCATTTATTGTTGCAAGTATTTGATTTTGTATTTGGTCATAAACTATATATTTAGTGTGTACAACTATCTGCTCAACTGTCTAAACTATACGTTTGTGTAGCCACTGCTTAAGTAGTCACTTATTGCCCTCCATAAACACAGAAACCATCACTAAAAGAGAAGCAATATTGTTACATAAACAAACATTCATAACTGCATAATCATTAATCAAAATAGAAGTTAATATATGTCAAAGCAGTTACATAATCAAACACCACAAATCAAAATGCAGTCATAACTGCAATTCATTGTCCTAAATATAAGGGTACTAAATAGGGATAAAGTGTATTGCATTGTCTATGACCCAACAAAACAAATGTCTACATTGCATTACCAACAAAAATCTACCAAAACAAGTTAGATTGCATTAGAGCTCTCTAGGCACAAATGTGCAGCCTTAGACCTAGTCTCCATTTGTTTTCTTCCCTCATCTCTTCAAGTTGGCTTGAGGTCATAGCTTGTTTTCCCTTTCATTTCACACCACATGGTGGTTTATGTCCAAGATCTCCAGTGACAACTGCTGAAGACTTCACATTTCTAAATCTTTCACTAGGCATTCCAGGCTGTTCAAATGAATATAAATAATCTTAATTTGTGATTAAAGAAAAAATAATAAATGATATTTAAGTATAGAAATAGGGAACTTACATTAATAATAGTAGCACCACTTTGTGTGTGTAGTGCACCCATTCCAACCATTCTTGTTCTGCTAGCAACACTACCCTAAAAAGTAACAAAATATTCAGTAAAGCAACTTATTTAAAACTTATACATGAAGTAAATAAAGGAAACTATATCACATTTTCTGTTGAACCCTTTGGTCTACCCCTTCCTCTTTCAGTTGGAGCAGTAGGTGTTGCTCTTGGGCCAGCAATTTGTGTTGATGTTGGTGCAGCAGCAGGGACAACCGTTTATGTTGATGTTGATGCAGCAGTAGGGCCAGAAGGAGGTCTTGAACTTGGTGTAGCAGGGCCAGAAGGAAGTCTTGAACTTGGTCCAGCAGCAGGTCTTGAACTTGGTCCAGCAGTAAAGCTTGTGCCAGAAGCAGGTGCACCAAGAGGACACTTTCTTTTATTGTGACCCTTGTTATGACAAGTGTTGCATGACATCTCAATCCCTCTTTTGGATAATTTTCCAGTTTTACTGGTTTCACCTTGCTCTTTCTTCCTTTTCTTGTCAGGCCTTCCTGGCATCTTCCTAACATGAGGTGGTATCACAGAGATGTTTTGTGATTCTGGCAACATTTTCAGATTCATAACTGGCTGAATGAAGTAGTTGTATGTCTTTATGTATGTTTCTCTGTTATACCAATGAGAAATGTAATTGATTGGGTCCAATTTCCTATGTTGAAGAGCAGTTATTGCATGAGGACATGGTATGCCTTTCAACATACATGCTCTACAGCTACATATTTGCCTTTGAATATCAATTACATGTCTGTATGGTCCATGAAGTACCTCATACCCTGTATCTGAATTCCATTCAATGCTGCATTTCATAGACTTGCTGTGTTATCTTGTAGAACCTTCATTGCCATTGAAGAAATGTCGCATATCCAAGTATTGCAAAACTCTCTCATAATTCTTTTCATCATTTTCACCCTAATTTCTTCAAGCATTGTAATTATAGTCTTATGCCTTGCTGCTAATATCTATGAATTGAAACATGCAGCCATGTTATTGTCTACAACATCACATTTTGAGGTAAAATTGAAGTAAAGTTTGTTCCATCTTTCAGGATTATAATACAACAAGTGATCAACTATAGTATTGCCCAACCTTTTCATATAACTAATGTTATCTTTTAACTCAGCCTCAAAAGTAGACCTTGCACACCTCCAAAAACATTTCTTTCTCTCAAGACCTCTCCATCTCTTTGACCAGTTAGCAAGGATGTGTCTAGCACACATTCTATGCTCAACATTTGGCAAATGATCAGTTATGGCAATTTCAAGACCCTATAAGAAAATTCAAGACATAAAACTAAGAAACTAAGACATTTATAAATAAATGGCATTCAAGACATGAAATAAATCAAAAAAATCAATAAAATATTCTAACCTTTTGCATATCTAATATGATTGTGAGGTCTGTACCATCTCCCAACTGAAGATCTTCCTTTAGAAGTTTGACAAACCAAGCCCAAGTAAACTTATTTTCAACTTCAACTACTGCCCAAGCCAGTGGTAGCATTTGATTGTTCCCATCTTTACAAACAGCAACCAATAATTGACCTTTAGATACTCCCTTTAGAAAACAACCATCCAAACCAATGCACCTCCTACAACCAGCCAAGAAGGACTTCTTCATTGCATCAAAACATATATAGAAGCCTTGAAACATTTTTCTACCTTTTTCAAATGTTTCTTCATGAAGCTTGACTACACATGTACTACCTGGATTAGTTCTTAGCAACTCATCTTTGTAGTCCAAAATCCTCCCAAACTCAAAAGCATAGTCACCCATTAACTCCTGTAATACTTTGTTTCTTGCTCTCCTACACATTGTTCTTCCAACATATAAATCCAATTCTTTTTTAATAAGCCCTTGAAACTCAAAGATTCTAATGGCAGGTTGTTCCTTTATCCTTTCACTGTAGTGACTAGATAAGAACTTGCTATTACAAAGCTTGTTCCTATTAGTAGGATCACATTTGTGAACTCGATTGTATGTCTTTACAACAAAATTATTTGTCCTAGAATCAAAGCTAGCAAATAAAACCCAAGGACAACCAACTGTACACCTAACCCTTACCCTTGTTGGTTCATTAATATACATTTCAATTGCAACATGTTCAGCAACAACATATTTGGTAACAGCAGATCTAAACTCATTAACACTTTCAAATACAAGACCCAATTCCCACACTACTTTCTGAGAAGATGGATCAAATACAACTCTATTCACCTTCTTTCTCCTTCTTGGCTTAACTCTCTCTCTTTGTTGAACCTCTTATTCATCATCACTGAAAGCATCTGGATCTGTTTCAAAACTGGCAGCTTCATCTGAGGGATAATAAGGCTCATCACCAGCTAACTTGCCTTCTAAGTTGTTTCTATTACCACCTGTAGATTCATCATACCCAGCATCTGGCCCTTTTTTTTCTATTCCTAACTTGACATGATCAGGCAATGGAGCTTCTCCCCTTTTCCTTCTCTTTCTTTTACTCATTTCCCTCCCTAAAACTTCTTAGTTAATCATCTACATCACTCTCATTAAATCCCCCCCCCCCTATTCAATGATTCTCTATCTAAATCTTGTTCATTAGAAGGATGGACAGGGTCAGGAATTGGATCAGAGGAAAGATGAACATGGTCAAGAGTTGGATCAGTAGAAGGATGGATAGGGGCAGGGGCATAAGCAGGGGCAGGGTTTGAGGCATTTTCTTGGGCCTCATGTGTGGCATTTTCTTGGGCCTCATATGTTGGTTCTAATTCAGCATCAAAAGATGCATTAGGCCCACTGTTTTGAGATGCTCCCTCACCTACTCCACTTTCCCCATATTCCAATAAAGGTGGGACCAAAACAGGATCAGCAACAAAGTGACACACAAAACAGTCCAAAATATCTCCATGACTCAAACACTCAGCAATTAAAGTAGTATCATAGTCAGATTTGATTTCTAACATAGAAGTACTTCTAGGAAGTTTCACATACAACACACATTGTCCAGGTTCATACCCCAACTCTTTCAGACAATCCCTCAATTCAAAATAAGATAACTTATCTATATCAACATCTAAAAACTCATAAACTCCTCCACCATGATATGGTTTCCCCTTGTATTCCTTTTTTCCAATCTTAATAACACCACCGTGGTAAAATCTCAAATTAATCAATTCAAAAGACATTTTAACATGAAAATAATGTTATCAGTTAACCCTCAACAACAACGACAAAACATATACAACAACAAAATTCATACAACAACAACGGGGAATCATGTGAATGAAAGACGACATACTGTAAACTTGAAAAAAAAAATAAAGACGAAATAACCCTAAGCTAAAAAGTATGAACTATGAAGTAACCCTAGAAATGTTTGACTGACCTTTCAGATATGGAGACGACAACAAATTATGAACGATGAACGCCTCGATTGTACCCACCAAACCCTAGTAACCACCGATTTGCTTCCACCAAACAATGAACGCCTCGATCGACAATATTTTTCAAATATAACTACAAGGATGCTTCAAAAACACCACAAAATCGAAGAAATCTTTAGCTAAAATTAGGATTTACATATGAATTTTTTCGATTAGGTTTTGATGTTCTTAGAGAAAGGAAACGGGTGGGTGAAACAAATGGACTAGGGTAAAATAAAATGGATTTGGGTGAAAAGAATCGGGTTTGGGTCAAGTGAATCGGATTGGGGTCTTTTATTACGTGGCTTAACTAGGAGGCGAGTGGCTTTCACTCTAGGCATAATGTCCTGGGTTGGGTGACGGAAGGGGGAAATAAATATACTTTTATGTACTTAAGGTGTGTAATAGGTCACCCCATTAGTTAAAGTGTGTAAATGACTTTTGGGTATACGTTTAGGGGGCAATTTATGCCTTTTGCCTTATTTTTATGTCATTCTTAGATTTTTGAAAGTGTTAGGCAAAGTTAAAAATAGATTAAAGCAAATTTAAAATGACTTTTTAAAAAATTAAAAACTAAAAGTAGGTCTCCCCTTACTTTTTGATTTTTTGATTTGAAGCTATTTTTATAAGTCAATCCAAACGAGCTCTTAATACATGCATTAGCATAATTAAGACTCAACTACCCCTTAAAACACCTTTTACATCTTTTTCACCATAATTGTGAAGGATATTTTTGTAAATATATATTTTTATGTAATGCATGTATTTTTTAATTCACCTAATCAAACAATGTATAAAAAATAATTTATATATAATTAATACAAGCATTACTAATACACTCTATTTAGCATTATATTTATACCCCTGCCAAATGACCCCTTTCCTTTTCATGTCTTGTTAAAAACTCGAGAATTGGAAGACTTTCTCCTTATTTTAACTCTTTTTTTTATTTAAAAAAATAGTTTAATTTGAATATATTTTAAAAGGGTGTGGATGCAAGTTAAGACTTTTCTTTTGTTTTTCTCAGAGTCCACATTGGAGTTCCGATTAAATTCAGATGTGCATTGTATGCCTATTCGGGGGTAGCGCTCCCAACAGGATTTTCTTCACACCAAGGCTCGAATTTGAGACCTCTGATTAAGGGTGAAACAATTCCACCACTGCACCACAACTCATCACTACACCACAACCCGAGACATTTTACTTATATGGAATGAGGCACCGGGTGTAAGTCTAGTATATAGTTAATTTTAAATATTTTATAAATTAATATAATAAAAACAATAATTAAAACTAGAGCTACGTATCAAAAACACACTTAAACTATTTTACTTTTTTAGTTTCATACTTAAACTATTAGGAGTGTGAGAATCACAACTAAACTATCACTTATAAACTTAACAAAAACACCTCACATAACATGTCAGGTATGTGTATTACACTCTCTTTTAAAAAAAAAAACTATCACATGAAAAATAGTTCCACCATGGCAAAAAGTTAAAATAAAATAAAATAATGTACCTAGGTAAATTAGAATCACGAATTGGGTATATCAATTAATGTAATCTAAACAAAGAACATTGTAAGAAGTTAAGCTACACACAACACTAAGTAATTTTCAAGAACCCATTAAAGAACACCCAAAGCCAAAAGTTTTCTCAGCCCAAATGACAAAATTCTCAACCTGAGAAAGGTGTGACAAATTCAGCCGCTACAAAACTTCATAAACACTTTAAGAAGGTGATTAAAACAAAAGTGAAGAAATGAACAAAACTGATTGAGAATTAATGAAGAAGAAGGGAAGAGTTTAAGATTTTAAAAATTAAATGAAAAATATTTTTTTTGAAAAAAATATGCCATCAAAAAAGAAAAGTTATGTGGACGAAATTTCTCATGAGATATCATATTCTCTTAGCAACTATCTGACCTACACCAGTTCACAAGTTGCTACAACCATTGTTTGATATTCTACTACTACACTCGAGCAAGCAACCACACTTTATTTCTTACTCTTTCAGGACATCAAATTACCTCCTAATAAAACACATATTCTGATGTAAAACGTCTATGAATAGGTAATTATGTTCAATCCATGTTTGCATATCCAAGTATCTTCCTAGAGCTGACTTTACATATTGTAAAATACGAACAACTGCATTCTAATGACATAACTTATAACACTCATTTGAAAAGAAATGTATGGTCTAGTCAACTTTATCTTTATTAAAAAAATTGTATGCTCTAGTCAATGTGAAATAATTCAATTTACCAACCAACTATTTTTATCTTCTAAAGACATTGAGTGGATCCATCTAGTCTTGCAAGAGTTTAACATTAGAATCTGTAGGAGTGTCAATGAGCCTACATACCATCGTTCCCATATCTTCAAGAATGTATAAGGCCTTTCATATAACAACACATAATCTGACTTAGCAACCTCAATACCTAGAAAGTACTTAAATTTGTTGAAGTCTATAGTCTGAAAATGTTGAAAGAGATAATATTTTAAATAAGTGATACCCATTTTGATCATTATAGGTGATAACAATATCGTCAACATAAACCATCAAATAAATATATAGATATGGAGTAGAATGCTAATTAATCAAAGAGTGACCAACTTCACTACGAGTCATGCCAAAATCTTGAATTACTATGTTGAACTTCCAAATCATGCTCAAAGAGATTGCTTCCGACCAGATAGTGACCGATAAAATTGACATACAAGACTACTAGACTCTCCCCTTCCCCTCGAGAAACAAAACTACGTGGTTGCTCCCCATAGATTTTTTTCCTCAAGGTCACCATGGGGTAACACATTCTTAATGTCTAACTGTTGAAGAGGCTAATGGTGAACAATAATCATAGCCCAAAGATAGAAAAAGGCGAAAAAATGATATTTTAGCCATAAGAAAAAATGTATCATCGTAATTAAGCTTAATATCTAAGTATACCTTTGGCAACAGGGTGAGCCTTAAGACTATCAACTTGGTTGTCTGGATCAACTTTGACTGCATAAATTCAATACTAACCAACACTAGATTTACCTGAAGAAAGAGAAACATGTAAAGAAGACATCTCATCAATCGAAATATATTGCCATCCAGAATGAGAAAGAGTTTCACATGTAAACTTGTGAATGGAAATAAAGGGAAAATATGATACAAAGGATTATGGGTGATGACAAACAATGATTACTTAAAAAGGTATAATAGGGTCTAGTATTACAAGTGAATTGCATACCTTTTCGAAGCAATTGGTTGACTAGGAAGAGTCAAGTCCTCTGTAGGTGCAAGGTATATTGTAGGTCATGACTCATTTAGGTTTGATGTTGGATGTACACAATATGATAATAAAGTTAGGAGTATGCGTATGCGGTTGTAGTACATCTTCTTTATTGTTAGAATTTTCCTTCTCTTATTGTCTTTGTGGCGGAAAGTAAGATGAGGGGAAGCTCACATATGCGATAAAGACTTATACTAAAGTTTGGAAACTCATGTCTTATCGATTGCTTTCTTGATTGTTGCATTGGTTTAGTCAATCCGACAGGCACACCTACTTTTATTGTAGTTTATTAGTCTTTTTTGATTCGTAAACCAACCGATGGATGGAGATATTGAAGGAACCATCGAAGAGTAAGCGCAAAATTAAGAGAACAAAATTTTATGGTAGAATCCACATTAACACTCT